CTAACCTCCTTGCTTCCTCCAGTGATAGGAAATTGTGAGAAGCTCCAGTATCCACCATGGCCTCGGTGGTTGCCTTCCCCACTGTCATCTCCACAAAGAGTTGCTCTTTTGCTTTGATCACTACAGGAAAAACAGACAAATCCGGCGGTTATTTCCGGCGGTTTGGGTAATAATACCGACGGTTTATAGTATTACCGGCGGCTTAGCGTCGGTCCTTCCCCCCCCCCATTTGAGGTCAACTCCCCACATCTCCCAAAACCCCATTGGGTAAGGCATTGTCCTAAGATAGCCTCAATGCTCCTAGCTAAGCGTTAAGAGGTGAAAAATAATGAGGGTGGTGGCAAGGTGTAGTCTACGTTAGTGTTGTAGGAAAAAGGGTAAGAGGGGATAACTTTAAGAGTGAGGACTTACCAATCTTGGAAGACATCCCACCATCTAACTCATAGGAGTGAGTTAGAGGCACACGATGAAGGCTTGCCAATATGGATGATATAAGTCCTTGAAGTGCCTTCAGATTTCTTGCAAGAGGAATAACGTGAGGATGTGCCAAGACAACAGGGGTGATACGAAGTCCTTGAGGCACCAGCAAAAAATGAGGAAGCCAACCCAAGGTCCAAATTATTTGATTGCTCCAGCACGCAACAAGGAATTCAATTAGGAGGAAAAGGCAAAGGACCAAGGGAGCCAATGATGCAGGATGGACCTGTGGTGGCCCAAAGACCTTCAGTACGGATTCTAAAAGGCTCGCAATGAGGTCATCGTGAGAATTTATGGGGGAGAGTGTCACGCCCAAATGTTTGACCTAGAGATTTGGCCAAACCTCTTGAGTGTGGGATGTCGAGTGGAGGTCCATAAGTCTTCCAAAATGATTCCTAAGATGGGTCGCATGACATTGAAAGGTTTTAGAAGATTCTAAAATACTTTGGAATATTCTAGAAGGTTTTAAAAGATTTCAAAAGATTTTGGAAGGCTCTAGAAAAAACTAGACTCTATTCTAAGATGATCTAGAGCTCTCTAGAATGTTATGGAGTTATGTAAGAGTGTAATGAATAATGTGGAATAATCTAGAGACTCTACACTCATGAATAATGGAGGGAATTTTAAATTGTTCTTAGGCATGGGAGAAGAGTTATAAATAGGACCCTCCCCCTTCATTTATATCCAACTCCCCACATCTGTTAAAACCCCTCCATATCCTATTGTAACATTCCATTATAATAGTGAACATTTTTTTCATTCACACTCTCTAGCCAAGTATTGTGAGAGTTTAAGGTTGACTTAGCACCATGAAGGAGTGTTAAGGCCGCATGGGAAACTTAAGAAATATCTCTCTGTAACATTAAGCTTGCAACAGACTATGTGTTTATTTAGAACAATTTTTTGACTTCTTTGATTTTTCAGATTGTAATTATAATTTCATTTGAAAGCAGTTTCTTGCTATTTTTGTGTTATTTCTTAGACATTTATGTGATGGGAAATTTTTTTTATAACTAGTTCTATAAAAATGTGGGTAATATAAGAAAGTTGTTGTTTGAGGGTGTGTTTTGAGATAATAGTTTACTACTTTATTGTTCATGTTATAATCATTATTTGAGTTTCATAATTGTTTTTAAAAAATTTATGTACTAAAAATATACCTTTTATAATAGTTTCTTAAAAAATTATTTTCCTCACAAAAGCTTTAAATTCATCTTTATAAAAATTACAACCATTCAAAAAAAAAATCCTAATATTTGTTTAAAAATATATATTTATAATAATTATAATTATTTTTTAAAAAAATATTTTTATCACAATATCTTCACAATCATCTTCATATTCCAGCTGCCTCAAAGGAGAGATTATTATGTTCGAAGTTCAGACGTAGGGTTATTATATCCGGATTGTGACTGTGCATATTGTATATAAAAATGTAATGTACTTTTATGCACATTGTGTATATACAATATACACACTCATTTATCCGAATATATTTCTACACCCGGACTCCGCACATTATAATTTATCACCTCAAAGAGGTCTCCTGTGAGAAGCACCGCAACGTTACAAATGGATTAAAAACACCTCAGGCATGTAAGTAACGCATAATATTTTATTTATCTAAATAGCTTATATTTTTATTTTTATTAAATTTTAGACAGCAAAATATTTTCTTTTGTCGGTGCACATATATATATATTGCTTGGAAGTATTTTTAAATCAGTAAGTACAAAACTGGTCGAAGGGGCCACGTAGCAATGTTATTTTGATTGGATGATTATATCATTGTGAGGCTCCTTTGAATTTCGGACTTTTACAAGGTCAAGAAAAATTTTCTATTAGTGAATTTTATAATTACGTTCTAAGAAACATTTCAAAATTACAAATAAAAATTACAATTAATTTTTTTTATTTGCAATTATAATCTAATTAAAAAAAAACTCTTCAAAACATTAAATATTTTTTAAACACCGCAAATTTTGATATTTTACATTTTTTTGTTTTATTAATGCTTGAAAAAAATAGTTTTTTTTTTTTTTTTGACATTTTGGTTAATTAAGACAAATTCAACCCATATCAAATCCGCAAAAGTCCCAATCCAAGACCCCTTGGTTGGCAATAAAAAACTCCAACGAATATAATGCGGAATGTCTGATAAAAAATCTAGTGAGATGGGAAAGTATTATCTAATAAAATATAAAAAATATTTTGATAAAGAATATTAGAGTTGTTGTGGGCTAGTATATTCGCGGTAGTAGAGTGAGAGAATTTATGTCCTAATGATACGTAGATATCCAATACACAATGAAATAGCTGGAATGAGTGAGGAGAAACACTATAAATTTTTAATTCGGAAAACTGAAAAAGGGAAAAGACATGGGGTCTAACCCGAACTAGAAAATTTCACTAAATTTGAGTGATTTATCAATATTGACCCATCCTTTAACTTAGAGACTGTGCAATTACAATCGTTTGGAGAGTCGGTCAGACTCCATATATATGTCATGATAGAAGTATGGTGATAGCGGTCGAGAGAAGGCCAAGCCAAGATCGGCAACCAAGCGGAGGTCCAATGATAGTCTGGCAGCTATCAGAGGCCGAGCATATGTTTAGTGATGATTAGCGGTATGAAGGAAGTCCGACTGCGTACTGGGGCTGAGTGGGGGTCCGACGAAGGCTAGACAAGGTTGGTGGCCAGACGGTGGTCCGACAGCAATCAGTGAAAATTTGTCTGCAGGGATGTTAGATTGAATTCTAGGATCCTTGAAGCTCATAGCTCTATATAATCTCCAATCAAATGTCCCCTTAATTAAGGAAGTAGGGGCCTATTTTTAGATTTTTTAAGAGTGACACGCTCTGTAAATATGGAAAAAAAATTAGGATAAATTTGAAGTGCTCAATCGGACGACCCATATTAAGTCCCTCCATCATGGAACATTTTTCAAGTATTTAAGTGCCTTTATGATGTCAGAATTAAGTGTTATGATGCTCATTGGATTTATCTTGTTGAGCCGCTTGATTTGACTATAAGCATTCCATATTTTGAGATCATTTGGTCATTTAATTAATGCTTCGAATCTTTCAAATATTCTTCAGTCCCTTGATTTGGAGATATTTGGGCTTGAAGTAGATCAATTTTGATGTTGTTAAGTTCGTCTCCTTGAGATGTTCAATTTGACTAGAAGTGTTGTTGAAAACAGTTTAAATTGTCTCAAATTTAATTTTGTTAAGTTGCCAACTCAGATATATCTCGAGATCGTGCATGATCGAGGCAATTTTTAGTGAGATATGAAGAGTGATAATTGCTGCTCTGATCAAAGTATATTATTTAATGTGAACCGAATCAGAGAAAAGTTAATCAGGCACGATATTTATATTAAATTATATTATATTTATGCTACTAAATTTTCTATTTTGATATAAAAAAAATTACAAATAGGCATTTATAAGATTTGAAAGACTAATAAATTTCAAGATATTTATAAGAAATGTAAGAACATGTGATAATATAAAATCATTAAGATATAACATCACATCAGACCATCATTATATAAATTTTTTAATTCGAAAGAATTTGAAATATATCATTATAACATTAAGGGGGTTGTTAGTTTTGTAATAAAAGGTGTAAAATATTCTAAATGTAGGGAATTTGAAAGTATTGATATTTGCTTTGAAATAAAAGATATGCATCTTAAATTTAGTCAGATAATATCATTAAATTTATAAGAGAAATATATAAATAGACAAGAATGCAAAAAAAAGCTTTTATTTTAATTTATTAACTAATTAATATAAAGTAAGGAGTTAAGTTAATGCTTTTTTGGTGATAATTGAATAAAATTGTAAATTAAGGATGAGCAAATTTATTAAATATATATCTTCTTGTATGAAATTTTTTTATTTTAAATTTGCCCTCCCTTAGTCAAATCTGATCCCTCCTCTACTTTGATCCCTGCTTAAGAAGAAATTATTACATGCGGAGTCCGGTTATGTCTAAACTCTAATAAAAATATGATATATGTCCTTGCACATAATGTGTATATCTGTACACACTATATACAAATTACAAAATTATGTGCATAGTATGTACAAACTTATATACATAATATACACACTATGTACATAGTTGTACATGATGCTTATAAATTTGTACACTATATATAAGAACACATGTCACATTTTTATTGGAATCTGGAGGTAACTCTACGTCCGGACTCCACGCATAATAATTTCTCTAGGCATCTCCAATCGAAAACTTATTTTTCACTTTAAAATGCAGGAACAATCATATCAAATTAAAAGCTATCTCCAACCAAATTTATTTCTAAAATAAAAAAATATATATTTATTTTTAATCAACATTAATGAATGATATTTACCAGATAAAACGCAAAAATGCATTTTTATTTGCCATTAGGGTGAACACTCGCTAGTGGCAAACAAACGATGCCCTAAATTCAATCAAAAGATAAGATATCATGAAGCCTATTAAAGATTGAATATTATGGAAAAAAAAATTCATGAAGCAAATTTCATGCTTATCTAATAAAAGGCACGCCTGCATCAGTAAAAGCCAAGCAACTCAAGCTCAAAACATTCAGCTGTAACAGAACCCAGTGGACATAATCCCCGTAAGCTCCCCGCACGGCCATGGCTGCACGCCCACCGCAACCCCACTCACCGCCGCGCACTTCCACGCCTCCATCTGCCTCCCAACTCCCCATAGCTTCACATTCCACAAACAAATGCGCGTGAAAGGCGACCCCTTTATCCCCTCAATTGATCCGGCCTCCTTCACCCCCACCCCCCACACATTCCTTATCGTCACCCCATCCACCCTCGGCAACGCTCCGGGATCGAACTTGTCGTCCGGGTGGTCTCCGACGTCGCCGGCGATCCTCACTCCTTTGCCTACTCTGTTCATGTACACGTCGGAGATTGTCACGTTTCTGATATAGCCTCCTCTCCCGGCGTTGGTCTTGATGTGGATGCCGATGCCGGTTGAATATATGTTGATGTTTTGAATAAGAATGTTTTCTACTCCACCTGATGCTTCGCTGCCGATGGCGATGGCGCTGAAGGGGGAGGAGCCGGTGATTCTTCTGATTGTGATGGCGGTGCTGGGCCGGCCGTAGGCGATGCCGTATTCGTCCCAGCCGCTCTTCACGGCTACTAGATCGTCCCCGGTTGAGATGAATGAGTCTTCTATACAGACATTTGAGCTGGAATCTGCAATTTTTTTTGTTTTTTTCTTGAGTTTGAGATATGATGAAGTTTTATTTGATTCGATTCACATATATATATTTTTAAATGAAATCTAGTATTTAATAATTCCTTATTTTATACAAGTCACCTGGATCAATTCCATCTGTGTTGGGAGAGTCATGTGGAGCCAGAATTGTAACTGATCTTATGACGACATTGCTGCAATGAGAAAACAAAAGTGATTAATTTGAAGCTCGGTGAGATTAAGGATTCATTTGAGGTAGAATTTTTTACTGTTTTTGACGTAATTTTTTAGCATAAAAAATTTAAAAATTTTATTAAAAAACTACTCTAAGAAGATAACTCCTGCTTTGTTTCCAAAAATCCTCAGAAAAACTGGTGTTTGCCCCTGCAGAATCCATAGCCAATCTCATCAAATCCTTAAAAAAAAATAGAACTGTCTAAGTCGGTCACAAGCCCAAATGAAAAAAAATTGAGGGAAATTTTTAATAAGGCTCCGCCATTATTGATGAACATAAATTGAAAATATGTTGACCTGCAGTAAACAGGATGAATGTTCCAAAATGGAGAGTTTTTGAAGATTATATTGGAGATGTGGATGTCAGTGGAATGCATGAATTCCAGGAGATTTGGTCTTGTGAAGCTGAGAGTTCTTTGCCTCCACATATCCCACCATACTCCACCTTGCCCATCAATTGTTCCATTCTCGCCTACAAGATCAACCAAATTTTACTTATTTCATGCTTACTTCAACAATCAATACAAAGCAAGTAAATCTTTTGCTACACTCGGTAACATTAGCAAAAACTGCTTAGAAAACTTGTGCTTAGTTAGTTTAGTTCTTATCTGTAACTCTATTCAAAGAGAGATGTGATCATTGTCACAAGCAAATTGCCACAAATATAACTGGCATGCCTCGAATATAATTGTTTGATGTATGCCATATGAAACCTCTTAAATAAATGAAAAGTTAAACTCTTAAACATCGATGTATCTTTTGGTGTAATGGTTGAAATTTCATTTAAGAAACTCCGGAGTTAAGCGTGCTCATCATAGATTAATTTTCGGATGGGTGAACTATTGGGAAGTTACACCAATAGAACAAAATCGTGAGGTCCTTTGACCAAAACGGGCAATATCTCGATAGTTAAAAGTTTGGACTTTTACATGTTAAGTATGCCAAACATATGGAAGACATCAAGGATCAAGTAATAGTAAGAAATCCGTTTAAATTTTACACATGACCTATCAATTTTTTTTTATTTGTGTGTATTCAAAGAATTTGAATGTGTTTCTTCTTGAATGAGATGAGCATCAAAATAGTACCCTACTAAAAGAGTAATTATATATTACGTGCGGACGACAAACATCATCTAGAGCCCAATAAAAATGCGTCACGTCACTCGGTATCGAGTAACGAGGCTGAGTACTGCTCGGTACCGTAGCTTGGTACCAGGTGATGTGGCTCATTTTCATTGAGCTCCGGACTCCGATGTCCGCACAAAATAATTTTTCCTGCTAAAAAGTCTCGTTTTAGTCCTACTTTTTAAATAGTAACATAAATAATCTCATGAAATGACTCATTTAAATTTTTTGGACATTTTTCTTATTGATTCCTAAAGTAGTTTTTTAGAAGAAAATTTTCTAGTTTAAGAAATTTTTTACTAAAAAATATTTTAAAAAGCATCAAATAAGCTCTCCCAAATGAAGCTTTAGTAACTATATAAAGTGTAATTTTAAATAGTTGAAAATTATTTTGATAATTCAAAAAAAAAAGTTAAGAGACCATATCATCTAATTAATATTAAGATTTAGCATATCATCTAATTAAATGATAAATTAAATACATTTTAATGTTTTTTAATATACAATTTCGCACGTCAATGAAAAAAAGAAGCCCTGGTAATGAACAGTAAAACCTTTAAATCATCTCTCTTCATTGCATATCACAACTTATTGTATTCCGTTTGTTTCTACTGACAAGAAAGCTAAAACCAAATTGTACTTTTCTGAAGTACAAAAGAGGTGTAAAGCAGTTGAATTTCCTCAAATAAAATTTCAATTAATCCAATAATTAATATATATTTAATATTTTTATCTAATATTTATACTAATTAAGAACATTTTAAAGTCAAGTAAAATTAAAATTGTGCTGTTTCAAATCATTTAAATTTCAATTATAATTCAAGCAGAACTTAACACTCAATTTCAGCATGAATTATTCTGTGCAGACACATGTAGGAGAACCAACTGATTTGTCTCTATAAATAATAAATTGGATCTAACTTTGCTTTTATTGTTTATGTTGCACTTTTACTGTTTACGGAGACAAAATCAAATAGAAAGACTATAATAATCTCTTCAATTTCAGCTCATCAGGTTAGCTTAAATTGAGATAGAAAAAACATAAAAATTGGAATAATGGAATGAAAACAGAGAAATTACCGGTTATAATCACATCACGAAGCCCGTAGCCCAAGATGAAGCTCGCATACCTTCCTCCCGGTCTCTCCCTCCCTCTCCCATACGATGGCAAAGGCTCCACCAATGGCCACTTCTCCGTATCCTTCAATTCATCTCAGCACAAAGTTTATTTCACCATTTCAGTGTTACATATGAGCTCCAAACAACGAAGAAAAGCAAACAAATATCTCACCTGAGAAGCCTTAATCACTGCTCCCCGGGCTAGAAACAGAGTCATATGGCTTGTAACATTGAAGCTACCAGTAAGCCAAACGCCTCGAGGAACATAAAGAAGCGTGCCGCCTAATCTCCTCAAGTGCTGAATTCTGTATATTGCCTTCCGAAATGGCCAGGTATTGTCTGTTCTTCCATCTCCTATCCCTCCGAAATCCTCTATGGAGATAACCTCCCTTCTGCTTCTCATGGGCACTATACCTGAGCAACTCTCCTCCGCCACCGCTTGTGGCAGCAGCGGAGTTAACAGAAGAGCAAGAAGCATTGCCGCCGTCGCCGTTGTTGCTGTTATTCCTCGGCGCTCCATTACAAGGAGAGGGATCCAAGAATAGCTTTTTAATGGTAAGAGAAGAAGGATGGAAGATGAAGCTCCAAGGGAAAGGCTACAAAAAAGGGGGAAGATTACAGGGAGATGAATGGTGTGTCAGTGTTTAAGAAATGCCAGTAAAGTAGTGGATATAATGCCAAGGAAAAGCTGAGAACTTGTCTGCGAGCTCCGAGCTCTTTCACCTTTGAGATGGTGAAGAAGATAGAGTTATCTCCTTCTCTTTCTTCCACAGCCTTTGGTAGACGGAATGTCTAGTTTATGGAGCCATATTATAGTTTATTACTTTCAACACTTTAGTGTAGATTTAGAATGGTTATGATAATTGGAAGTACTATAGTGGGAAGATCGTGGCGGTAATCTTACCTGTACTTCTAACTTTAAAAAAAACAAAAAAACCTTAAAACAAGAACTCTGAGATGGTGCGTCTAGCTCGCTGGTTGAGCCAAGTTTTTCTTCTTACGCGGTTCAATATTTGATATGCACCTCATTTGATATGTGAGTTTATTTTAATTGACTGAAAAGGAAGAAGGACCAGCCACCACTTCATGGAATGAAGATTGAACACGAAGCTAAGCTATAGCTCATTCAAGATAATCGCAGTCGTCCAGCTCAAGCACTGCAATCAACTAGATGTATTAGCCACAAGTATTACGCTAGCTGTCAAGAATCAAACATCTGGTTGATTGCAGTGCTTGAGCTGGACGGTTGCGATTATACTGAATGAGCTATAGCTTGGCTTCGTTATCAATCTTCATTCCATGAAGTAACGGCTAGTCCTTCCTTTTCATTGACCTAAATATTTCAAAAAAAAACTCAACATTTTATTGGAAACTCTAATTAATAGATTAAGATTTTTATTTGGAATAGTTTTCATATTATTTTATAAAACAACTTTTTAGTATAAAGATAAAAAGATATTTTAGAAAGCGTAAAGAAAAGTACACTCATCTCTTTCATTATATCTATTGTATATCTTAGATTTTTAAGCAAATTTATTTTCCAATTTAAAATAGACTGGGTTTATTTGGGACTAATTTTTTGACTTTTTTGTTTTTCAGATTATAATTATATTTTCATTTGGAAGTAATTTCTTACTTTTTTTTTTTTCTTAGAAATTTATAGAAGCTTCTATTTTTTTTTTTTTTTGGGGGGGAAATTTGGGGCCAAAGCCCTTCTATTAAGAAAAAATAATTACAAGTAAATAACAAAAAAGTCTGCTAAGAAAAATAAAAGCAGACCAAGAAGGAAAAATTACAATTAAGAAAGGAAAAAAGAAAAAACTATACCACCCGAACCCAAAAAACAGTAACAAAATTGTGGTATACAAAATTGATCAGGACTCAGGGCCGAGCTGTAGCAGTAGTCGAACGGGACAGAATCATCAAGAGCATCAAGGAGGCCCCTGGTTGCCAAAAAAAAAGACCCTCCAAGGGGCATAGCTACATCAATCATCATTGTCCTGCAAAATTGTCTGAAGAGCCGAAAAAGAAATCGTCCCCGATTGCCAAACTGGCCATCCAAGGGGGAGAGCCAGCAAGCCAAAAATGTCCAACAATCGCAGAGAGACTGGCCGAGAAACTTCCAGCCAAAGGAACCACCAGACACAGTCCAGATTAGCGTACTCAAGATAATAGATGCAAAAACCTATGCCCATATTTCCAAGAATCCAACTTCAACAAGGCAGCTTTTTTGATTTTTCTCACCACCGTGGTATGACATTCAATGATGCAGCCAAAGATTCTATCATTACGCGCACGCCAAATGAAATAGATAGCCATATTAATAATGAGAGAATAGAAATTGAGCATGCTAGCAGTATCAGAAATCTCCTCCAAAAAGTCAAACAATTGATGCAGATTAGGGCGAAGGAGGAGAGTATGAGACTGAGGGATAAGCGAGGAAAGGATCCCAAAAGCAAAATCACACTCAAAGAAGAGATGGGTGTGAGATTCTCTATGATCCAAACAAAAAATGCATCTCGGATTCACGTTAATTCCTCTTTTTATCAAATTGTCTGCCGTTTTTAAACCATTCCTCATAGCCTGCCATCCATAAGCAGAGGAACGGATGGAGGAGTGTTTGTGCCAGATAAAACGATACCAAGGAACCTTCTGAAGGTTTTTATAGTATTCTTTGCGAAACATATTTTTCACAGGCTTCTCAGAATTGAGCCAAAGGCAACCCACATCAGCTTTAATAATAGGTACAGAATAAACAAGCCCAACCAGAGAAGAAGGCCAAGAAGTGGGACAGTTCCAAATACCGTCCAGCATAATATGCTGCACCGAATTAGAGTTGGACAAAGCCAAATCAACATGAATACCAGCATGAGCATCAAAGTCCATCAGAGCTTTACCAAAACACCACGGATCCCAGAGAAGGGAGTGATGGCAATTAGGGGTGATCCTGAGAGTAAAACAGTGCTTAAAAAGTGAAGCCGTGAGGCACAAGTTGTTCCAGTAGTGAGAACGTCTATTAAGGTGAGGATACCAAAGAGAATGGTAGATGTTTCTCCAACAGTTGAAGAGAGGGCTTTCACCATTTAAAAATCTCCAAATAATAGAACAATTAAAACTGTGAGACAGAGCCTCCAAGGAGGGAAGCCCAACTCCACCATTAAGTTTAGGCAGGCAAGTATCCTTCCAAGCGATAAGGTGAAGCTTTTTTACCGCAATGTCACGGGAGAAAAGAAATCTGGAGCAAAGCTTGTTTAGAATTTTAAAACAACGCTTAGGTAAAATACTGCCTCTAATCCAATAAGCAATGGTATTAAAAATTGTGTATCTCAGAAATTGTATTCTGCCCCCAAAGGAGAGGGTTTTTGCTCTCCAACCCTCTAAAGCCTTGGTAACTTTCTACAGTAAAGGTTGAAAATCCACAAAGGATGGCTTCTTCATAAAAATGGGCAGGCCCAAATATTTAATAGGCGAAAAGGTTTGTTGAATATTAAGAATCTCACAAATAGTAGTACAGTGCAGGCAATTCTTAGAGAACAAGATCGAACTTTTTGAGGGGTTAACTTTGAGACCATAAGTAGCTTCAAAACGCTTAAGGATGCCCATCAGAGAAGTGGCCTCAGAGATATTTGCCCTAGAAAACACCAGCAAGTCATCTGCATAGAGCAGATGGGAAATGTTCAAGTTCCCAAAAGAAATACCTTGAAAGCACTGATTGGAGTTGGCTTCTTCAAAACAGGCCGAGAGGCCATCAATGACCACAGTGAATAAGTAGGGAGATAATGGGCAGCCTTGTCTAAGCCCATTAGAAGAAGAGAAAAAACCTTCAAGAGAGCCGTTAATAGCAACCGAGAAAAAAATGTCAGAAATACAGGCTTGAATCCAAGAAGTGAAGAGAGGTGGGAAACCTTTAGCAAGCAGCCTGTTGATCAGAAATTCTCTCGAAACAGAGTCGAAAGCTTTGTGGATATCAAATTTTGCACAGAAATACTTATGCTTGGGGGAGGAGTTAAAGCAGCCAAGGATTTCAGACGCTAAAATGGTGTTATCAGTAATGATCCTACTTTTAATAAAGCCAGCTTGAGCAGGATTGATAATATAAGGCATCACCAATTTCATTCTATTAGCCAGAAGTTTAGCAATAATTTTATAGAATGAGTTGCAAAGGGAAATAGGCCTGTAGTCGTTAACAGAGCAAGCATGAGGGCTTTTTGGAATAAGAGCTACAACCGTATTCTTAGCTTGCTTAGGCAGAAAAGAGGAGGAGAAAAAAGATTGCACAGCACGACATAATTGTTTGCCCAAAGTATTCCACCACGTAGCAATGTTATTTTGATTTCCTCCTGCTTTAGATGATTTTATCATTGTGAGGCTCCTTTGAATTTTGGACTTTCACAAGGTCAAGAAAAATCTTTCTATTAGCGAATTTTATAATTACAACCTAAGAAACTTTTCAAAATAAAAAATTAAAATTATTTTGTATTGCCAATTATTACTCTAATTAAAAAAAAAAAATCTTCAAAACATTAAATATTTTTTAACCACCGCAAATTTTGATATTTTACATTTTTTTTTTGGTTTATCAATGCATGAAAAAAAAAGTTTTTTTTGTTTAGAAATTTAGGTCAATTAAGATAAACTCATACCCATATCACATCTGCAAAGTCTAAATCCAAGACCTCTTGGTTGGTAATAAAAGATTCCAACAAACAGAACCTAGAATGTTTGAAAAAAAAATAGTGCGATGAGAAAGTATTATGTAATAGAATATTAAAAATACTTTGATATAGAATATTAGAGTAGTTCTTGGCTAGTATATTCATGGTGCTAGAATGAGAGAATTTTCGTCTTAGTGATGCACAGATATCCAACACACATAGATAGTTGGAGAGAGGGCGAAGAAACACCAGAAATTTTTAATGCTAAAAACAAAAAAAAAAAAAAAAGGGAAAACCAATGGGGTATAGTCCAGATGAGAAGATTCCACTAAATTTGAGTAATTTATCAAAAATTGACCTATTCTTTAACTTAGAGGCGGTACAATTACAATAGTTTGGAGAGTTGGTCAAATTCCGTTTTTTTAATTTGTAGCTTGTATTGATCGTGATCGGGTTAGAAGTATGGTGAAAATGGCCAAGAGAAGGTCATGCCAAGATCAGCAACCAAGCGGAGGTCCGGTGACTGTCTGGCGGCGATCAGAGGCTCTGCGAAGGTCTAGGAAGTGATTAGCGATCTGAAGGAGGTCCAACAGCTGTGGACGACTGGGCAGAGGTACAGCGTAGGCTGCACAAGGTCGGTGGCCGAACAGTGGTCCGATAGCAATAGGTGAAAATTTGTCCGCGGTGGTGTTATCGGAACTCTCTACAATCTCCAACCAAAAGTCCCCTTAATGGAGGGAGTAGGGGCCTATTTTTAAATTTTTGACAGTGCACACTTTTTGAATATGGAGAAAATTTAAGATAAATTTGGAGTGCTACATCGGACGACCCATGTTGATTCCCTCATCATGGAATATTTATCAAGCATTTAAGTGACTTAATGATGTCAAAATTAAGCGTTCTTGGGCTCATTGGATTTATCTTCTTGAGACGCTTGATTCGACTATAAACATACCATATTTAGAGATCATTTGATTATTTAATCAATGCTTTGAATCTTTCAAATATTCTTCGGTCCCCTGATATGGAGTTATTTAGGTTGGATTGAATCGATTTTGATATTTTCTAGGTTCTTCTTCTTGAGATGTTCAATTTAACTATAAGTTAGATGAAATCAGAGTTTGAATTGTCCCAAATTTAATTTTGTTAAGTTGTCAACGTACCTATGTCTTCAGATTCGTGCCTGATTGAGGCGATTTTTAGTGAGATATGAAGAGTGATAATCGCTGCTCAGATCAAAGTAATTTATTTAAAGTGAGCCGAATCAGAGAAAAGTTAATCATGCACGATATTTATATTAAATTTAATTATGTTTATGCTACTAAATTTTCTATTTTGAAATTAAAAAAAAAAATACAGATAGCATTTATAAGATTTGAAAGACTAATAAATTTCAAATATATTTATAAGAAATGCAAGAACATGTGATAATATAAAATCATTAAGATATAACATCACATCAGAACATCATTATATAAATTTTTTAATTCAAAAGAATTTGAAATATTTCACTGTAACATTAGAACTTTGATTATATCCAGTGAACGTA